TATCCTACACTACGGACGCCCTAGTGTATGCACAGTCCTTGTGATGCCAGAAATGCTTACCCCTCTTTCCAGCGCAAGGCATACATAAGCGGGGGGTAAATTTACCCCCCAGATTTGCAATAACCATACACCGGCTATTTCCTCAAGACACTCTATTCCATATACCTTTTACCCGTGCTTCTCCTACACTACGGACGCCCTAGTGTATGTACAGTCCGTATGATGTCAGAAATGCTTACCCCTCTTTCCGACTCAAGGCATACAAAAGCGGAGGGTAAATTTACCCCCCAGATTTGCCGATCACGCATCTTCGTGCCTGCCAACGAGTGCACCCGGGTTGTTCCAATGTACCCTTCCCAGTCAGCGATGTCACATTTACATTCTTTAGCGCAAAGTATGTACATAGCAACCTTCCTCCCAAAACATGTCATCCCTACATGCTTTGCCGACTATGTAACTAGTACATCCGGTGCGATTCGGCTAGCTTTCGACCTCTCCCCCTGGCCTCAAGTTCTGATCAGCTTTCGGTTTCGGTATCTCCTTGCCTGACATTCATTTTGGTCTTCACCCTGATTGGGTTGCTAGATCAGCTTTCTTGCTTCAGCCTTTTCGCTGGTGAAGGCCAGCTGCAGGTAGAGGTATTGTTTGGCTTGCAGATCAATCATCCATGGTCAGTCCTAGATGTCCCCATACACATACTCACATACTCCGTGATATCCAACGATTGAGGCAAACAATGGACATGACTGGATCCCTCTAGACTCTGGTGTTGTTTCTTCAGGCGCAGTTCAAGGCCTGCGAGGCTCAGCTGGAGCAGGCCACCGACTCGATCACGTCCGCTCCGGTGGGGACGACGGGACCGGACGGGTCGAACGGCATGAAGTGCACCGAAGCAAGGCTGGAAGTGCCCGGACTCCTGGGCCCAATGTAAAGGACTCGTCTGGGCCCAATGGAAAGGCTCCAGATTTTCTATCAAGGTGTGTCCAAAGGTTCTTATGGCTCAAGGGGGGATGGAAACGCATCTTCATGCATCTTGTTGGACGTCGGATGGGATAGACAAGACTTGTCTTGGGAACATCACCTGCTCAATGAGTCGGATGGTGTTGAAACTGGAGAGGTTCCTGTTTGGGTCCCTGAAAGTCATAGGTTTAGTGCTGCCGAGATGATTGCAGGATGATATCAAGAGAAACGACCAAAGAACCAACAGGAAACAGTTCAATCCCTGGTGCGGCCGGGGGAAGAACTATTTTAAACAGGTTGGGAAGGTGTTTCCAGATTAGTTTTTGTTTCGATCTTTTCGTGATGTGCTCTGGTCGGTGCATCACCTGCTTATCGCACTGATGGATCCTCCATTTTGCACCAGGTGCTTTTGTTCTGCGTCGGTCCTGCCCAAACCAGCCGCAAGCCGGTCCTGCTCTGCAGGACATTGCGCACGATGTGAGTTTGGAGCATGTGTGCAAGTGATGGAAGAAATGGAACACGCCATGGCTGTCGCTCGGGATGGCGGACTGGAGCAGCCCTGGACTCCCACCCAAAATGAAACTGAGGGGATCCACCGGATTTTATGGAGGGGGTTGTGCATGGGAAAAACGCATCATGGGGGGTCATGTCACACGAACACTTTAATAGCAAGGTGCCTTACTAGTAACAAGGACGCTACTAGGAGCAAAGGACATCGCTACTAGGAGCAACGAAGCTACTAGGGGCTCCTGGCCTTACTACTAGGAACACGGACGCTACGAACGTAGCAAGTGCATCGCTACGAACGGAGCAAAGGGCCTCACGAACATCAGAGATCAGGTCTTCGAGTCTTGTCTCGAGTCTCAAGGTCCCCTTCCACCCTCCGGTGATTCAGCGTAAAGGAGTACTACGGAGTACTGGTGGATCCAGTGGTCTGTCGACATGTGAGATCCGTGTTGGGTGAGTGTATGTGATGATTTTTGAGTTCTTGTCCCATGAACTTAATGGCCAAATATGGCCAATAGATTCTATAATTGAACTTATATATATACATTTAATGTACTGTACATACCTCTCCACAGAACGTGCTCGTCATTGGCTGAGACCCGAGTGTACCGTGCTTGATCTGAGATAGCCCCCTAACAGCGCTGTCCACCTTTTTATCACCTTTTAATACCTTTCAGCAGTGCCTTCTTTTTGGATAACTCTAGATACACCCCAGGTTTCTGTTTTAGCCGTCGGGAAGAATGGTTAACCTGGTTTTGTGGTTCATAATCTCCAGCATCAAGGCCGTTGGGTCAACACCAAATCGGTGGTGTTGTCATCGGCAACATCTTTCGAACTCCGATCCTGTCTTCGCTGCGTCAAGGGGTCCAATTGAGTGGCCCAAGACTGTTGCACAATCCTCACCCACATCCAGAGGTTCAGCACCCACTTCTGCACAACCGTTGTGTTCCGAAAGAGGTCGTAAACCGGTCCGCAGACCCGGTCCGCAATTCGAGTCCGGTCGGATGCGAGTCCGCGACTTACTGGTCATGTTGGACGCGAGTCCTTTTGAAAGACCCAAAGTACCCCAAGATTGAACAGTCACAACTCGCAGCACCCAGAGTACTCCACTGTTTGACGCGTTGACGAACCCACGCTCTGATCAATCCGCGCCCAAGCGCACACGCTGGGCGTGATGGATCCCCATGCGGCCCACCGAATTGCCAAGCTGGATGAGGTGGGACGCTTTTTGTGGGGCTTTCGTGATGAGAGGGAAGCTTTCGTGATGTGCTTGGACCGGCTTTCTTGACCAACGTGCCGGCGAAAAGGACTGTTTGGCATTTTGTGGGCAACCCCGCGGTGACCCTCTTTGCTACCACCATCTGGCAATCGAGCAAAGAGTTCTGAGGAGGGTGTATCAGTATTAGTTATATCATGTTATTATATCTCGCTCTCTCTCTCTCTCTCTATATATGTGATGGTAGCCCTTGCTCCGCGCACCGCGCGGACCTGTTTTCCTCTTGGGCGTAAAAGTCCCTGCACGGTTGACCAAATCAACACTCCATCTACTTTCTAAATTGGCGAGGGATCGAACTGCCGGGCAACATTGAACCGCTGGACATGCTCTGGCCGCAAGCATTCAAGTAATCCACCAGATCTTTCAACCCTGGTGACCCTGTCTTATAATGGCTCACGCAGTAGGATCGATAGCTGGCGAGATCAGGATCGTTGGGATCACGCATTTCCTCATAGGTCTTCACACCCTTGTACTTGCCAAAGGCCACTAAAGAGGATCCCCACTGGCTGATCGACGTCACACCGGGCGGCAGATTGCCTTGGGGATACGGAGACTGGGCCTGCTCCGGCGACACCGGCATCGGAATGGGCATGGTCGCTCCCACCGACGAAGCAACATATGAGGCCATCTCTGGGCCTGTGGACTTCTTTTCTTCACGAAGACGCTTGCAAGCATCGGTCATAGTTCCAGAAGGGGAACCCTCCCACTTGAGGTCAAGTGAGATATCTTCGACATCTTGCACACGCTTCATCAGGGCATCCCATGCACCACATTTCCTGGCTTTGAGAACCAGGCGGAAACACTCGTCAGCTTCGGCTGGAGTGAAAACACCCTTAGAGTTCATGACCATGATCACTCGCACACGAACGGAAATCAAGCTCGACTTGTTCCACTCTCTTGGAGAAAGCTTGAACCGTGTAACAAACACGGAGGTTGTTTGGATACTATTCTGCTCGGCAGGGTTAGGTTCTACTCAAATAAACAAAACACATGCATCATGAATTTACTCTCTGCAGAAACAAGCACGACAAACAAACAAAAAAGGATAGGCGGCAGCTTCACTATGGTTTGGTATTCATCAACCCTTAAGTGCATCACTCAAAATAACTCGTTATTATCCCTTGAGACTATATGCACTCATGAATACGACACAGTGCTATTCATGCGCTGCGCTATCATGTGACTTGGTCTTCTGCACGAACTGTTTCCTGCGATCACGTTCCTGGGCTCTGCGCTCAAGTACCAAGGCCTCCGGGCTAATTTGGTAACGAGCGGTCCTTAGGCACGCTCTGACAAGATCGAATGCCTCAGGACTCTCCTTGGTGAGAGAGTCAGCCAACATCCTATCCGTTGGTATCCACCGGATATGAGCTCTCATACGACTAATGCTATCCCTAAGGATGACGATATCGATCGAAGTCCGACGGTCTTCTAGCGTCGGAGAGGATTGAGCAATTAGATGGTCGTATAAAGACTTGCAATCGGTTACTAGCAACACCAAACGGTTTCCAAGGCCAGTCCATAGGCTCTGAGACAGTCGAGGTCCATCCAGGGCCTCTGACAAAATCAAACTTGTCCATTCAAGCATGCTCGAGGCAACTGACATGCTTTGAGCCTCAGCACTAAGTGTGGAGCTCACCACTCGAGGAAGGCGGAAGCTTTTCCAGTAGGCGGGTGTCCAAGAACAGTCGATTCCCTTGTTTACATCTTGGTGAACGAAACTCACCATGAAACCCGCTTGAGTGGCCCCCGCTCTGGCGTTGGCAAACGCTGCATCGGAATGACACATCAAACCTAACTCACCCGGGGGGATTGAACAGTAATGGATCTTCTGATCTGCATGTTGTCGCGCCCTACGAACAGCATGATTTGCAGCAATTGCATCTCCTATTGTGGGCTTTGGAAACGATTGTTGGGAGAACGATACTTGTGTTCCAAGATCAGGTCGGGACTGGTTTGCTAGCCAGTTAAGGCTTCCGTTCACAGCTCTCAAACAGCTGATCTCCTTGTCATCAAGGGGGACATCCCTATCCCTACATCGCTCCCTACTCATATGGATGGGTCGGATTTTATGAGCAAACTTTTCTTGACTCATAGTGATCTCGAAGGTTTCCATGTTTTGCTCATACTTTGCACCGCAAAAATCCCCCGATCCTTGCCGCCACTTGCGGAATTCGAAAACCTTCTGCAATTCGGAAATGGCGTTGGTGTAGGCTGTCCCACAACCCCCTGTGACACAATCGTCAACGTGCACTCCATAGACCCCTTTTAGCTGTCCATGTTCTCTAAAATAGAACAAGCACGCATCAAATCGAGACCGTTCGAACCCAACACGGACAAGTTCTTGGTGCAGCTTCCGATACCATGCTGAGGGGGAGTCATTGAGACCGTACACATGACCTACTACCTCAATCAAGGCGTTCTCTGGCACACCTGGTATTCCTCCCTTCGGAAGGCTAGCGTACAGAGGTCGATACCGCTTGGGGAGATCCCCTGCGGCCAGGAATGCACCCTTGATATCTCCCAAGGACATGCGCCAACGGTGGGAAGCCAACAGCTGAAACAGCATGTTCCTACCAACTTGGGACAAGGTGGGACTTTGAAGGTCTCCAGCGCTGGCCTTTTCGCTCAAGTCGGGATCGAGGTGACCTTGGAGACACCACCTAGCCTTAACTCTGGGAGCGGAATCATCCTCCTGCTTGATGGTAATGACATATCGGCTACCCATGATTCGATGTTGGAGGTGTTTCCTGACATCATCGGCTTCGGGGCCTAGAACTAACCGCGCAGCATGCTTCGAGAGGATGGTGTTCCACTCGAGCAATTTCGCTTCATCCACTCTGATTTGCAGTTCAAGGGGGTTCCCCGTGACGGGTATCTCTTTGGACGCTTTCTTCTTCATGTAGGCTGCTACCAAGACTTCATGTGATGCTCCGTTGTTGTACTCTTCTAATGTGAGGTTCTCAGCTCTCCTAACCAGTTTGGCCTGTGTGAGGTGTTCCACTGAACAGATGGTGATTTCATCCTTTGCAAAGGTTTCCCCTGTTGCTTGAACACAGAGCTGATCGTCTTCCCACCCTGTGGTCGGCTTCTTAGTCGAAGGCTGGGAGGACTCTGGTAGGTCCTCAGCTGAACGCTTGAGTCCATGCGGATCAGCAGGAGGCTCTGACGATGGCTCTGCTTTTGCCTGTTGGGGAGAATCCTGAATGATGCGGTTCACTAATTCAGGGACGATTTCCTGCATCATTTCTTGGAAGTCTTCATCTGCCATACGTCCAGGTCGATACAAAGCCATCGGGCCGTCTTTCTGGAGAATCCTACGACGAGGTCTGACGGGACCATAGCCTGTTTCCGGATCTACTGTGTCTGGATCTGGTCGAGTGGTCGACTGGTCAACAGGCTGTGGCAATTCTGCCTCGCGAAAATCAGTGGCTTTGTCCTGGACGGGTACGGGTGGTAGCTCCTCTCCGTTGAGGTTAGCTTGCATATCGACATCTGACGATTTGGGCTGACCACCCGCTGCCGTTTTGTCCAGCACAGACTGGGGGACTGAACCCCTGTCGGCTTCATCAGACCGAGTGTCCTCTGATGACTCTCCGGGATAGGCGTCAGGCACTAGATCGATATACTGTTTGCTTGACAGTTGACCCGATTCGATGAGATGTTTGATTCCCAAAAATTCCATATTTGGAGTCTCTACTAGTTTGATCTCATCCTGTGTCGA